AGTTGCTGCTGTCACATCCTTTGGCACACCTTCGAAGCCAGGCAATTGCACAAGGCTCTGCGTCAACATTCCAAGGGCGCCCATCATCGCCAAGCGACCGTGCTTAATCTCCTTGGCGCGGAGGTCCTTGAAGGTAGCCTCATCCTTGCAGAAATCCAAAGGGTCAAAGAATCCAACAGGATCCATAGCACCAATCTGGGTCTCCTTGCTGAAGTTGCACACAACATTCTTGCGGCCAACAGGCTTCTTACCACCGGCAAAGCCCAATGCGGCAACACCAGCAGATGCGGCAGCAAGGGCAGAGTAGGCACCAAAGTTGGACTCAGACTGCGCTGACACAGGTGCAGAACCACGAAGGGTCACTCCCTGTGTGCCAGGTGTTACAAAAGCATCCACACAAGGAGCGGCCAGGACGCCAGCAATGAGAGTCTTTGCATAAGCCATGGTGACAAGTCGGTGTCCAAGATTATGTCCACGAAAGCTTGAGCACACCTAAGAGTCTGGGCGCAAGGAGAGAATAGCTCTCGAAGATTGCAGCAACGATTGTTCAACGCATGTCAAAAATGTTCTTTGGTGCCTGAAACTTCTGCACAACATGAAGGGCTGACCCAAGTTCCCTACAGTAAGATTGGAGGGGGAAAGAAAAGTAAGATACTGTGCCTGGAGGCCTGCGAACACCAAACACACCTTTTCCACACTGTTCCTTTCTCAGATGGTATACATCTGGACTGGTGTTGCCAGATGAACCTGCAACTCTGCATCCAAATTCAACATCTGATCGCCACAAGGGTGACTGGAGTCACGAGCATGAGCTCTGACTCGAAAATGGACAAGCTAGCGCTAAACAAAAAGATATTAGAGACCGAACTGCTCAAGACCCGCCTTGCCTGTATAGAGGCCGGCTGCAATCTGGCCGATAGCTGAAAACATGGCAATGCGTCCGTTGTTGATCTCACGAGCCCTCATTTCATCCGAGTAGTCATCAAACCAAGGCAATGGATTGCCAAAGTTGCCTGGCTCCTTGCTCTCATCCTGCACAAAGACTGTTGCTTCAAGCACTGCGATGATCCCAATGACCAAGAAAAAGCCAATCTGGCCGTTGCCAACAGTTGCTGCTGTCACATCCTTTGGCACACCTTCGAAGCCAGGCAATTGCACAAGGCTCTGCGTCAACATTCCAAGGGCGCCCATCATCGCCAAGCGACCGTGCTTAATCTCCTTGGCGCGGAGGTCCTTGAAGGTAGCCTCATCCTTGCAGAAATCCAAAGGGTCAAAGAATCC